TAACCCTGACCACTTCTGTACTTTGCCCTGAAGTTCTAACCGCTTCAGCTCCACCACCTCCCTGGAGAACTCTAAGTACTTAGCTTGCCCTCACCTTATTTCCCCAGAGATATGAAAATTATCAGGAATGTTGTATTGGGGGAGAATCTGAGTCCCAGAAAGTCCCATGGTCTGGCCTTCCTAGGGAAAGCCAGGAACAAATCCCACAAGTCCTGAGGGCCCATCCCTCAAGATTCCAAGCTTTCCATTAACCTTCTGAGGATGTATTTTTAGGGATAATGCCATTGTCGTGCATTTGGTACCCCAAACCACTGCTCCCCTCCTCTCCTGTTCCCCTATCCGTGTGATCTAGAACTGAAGCAGTCTCTGCTGTCTCCAGCCCTGTCTGAAGAGCTTCTTAAAAAATATGGTTTCTCACAAAATATTGAGTCAGCAATTTGAAAGATAAGGTAGCAGAAAACACCTAATTAGAATAGCAAAAAAAAAAATGAGGATAGTTTAGGGGCATCTGGTACAACATCAAGGGAAGTGCAGAGAGTCCCAAACACAATGAACCCAAAGAGGCCCTCGCTAAAACACATCATAATTAAATGCAGAAGGTTAAAGACAGAGAATCTTAAAAGCAGCAAGAGAAAAACAGTTAGTTACCTACAAGGGAGCTCCCATAAGACTGTCAGCTGATTTCTAAATGGGAACTTTGCTTGCCAGAAGGGACTGGCAAGATATATTCAAAGTGATGAAAAGCAAAGACCTACAACCAAAATCACTCTAACCAGCAAGGCTGTCCTTTAGAATCCAAGGAGAGATAAGGCTTCCAAGACAAGAAAAAGCTAAAGGAGTTCATCAACACCAAACCAATATTACAAGAAATGTTAAAGGGACTTCTTTAAGTAGAAGAAGAAAGGAATATCAAAAATATGAATAATTAAATGGCAATAAGTACATATCTATCAACAATTAATTTAAATGCAAATGAATTAAGTGCTCCAATCAAAAGACATAGGATGGTTGAATGGATACGAAAACAAGACGCTTACATATGCTATTTGCAAGAGAGCCACTTCAGGTCAAAAGACACATACACAGACTGAAAATAAAGGGGTGGAAAAAGGTATTTCTTGAAAATGGTAACAAAACTAAAATAGCTGGAGTACCAATACTTATATCAGACTAAATAGACTTTAAAACAAAGACTATACGGAGAGCCAAAGGAGGACCCAGCAATTTCACTTTTGGATATTTATCTGAAGAAACCCAAAACACTAAATTGAAATGTCATATACATCCATAAATTTCTTGCAGCATTATTTATAACTAGAGGCCTGGTGCACAAAAATTTGTGCACTCGGGGCGGGTGGTCCCTCAGCCCGGCCTGTGCCCTCTCGCATTCTCGGACCCCTCGGGGGATGACCACCTACTGGTTTAGGCCTGCTCCCCAGGGGATTGGGCCTAAGCTGGCATCAGACATCCCTCTGGCAGCCCGGCAGCCCTCGGTGGATGTCCACTTGCCAGCGGGGAGCAGACCTAAACTGCAGTCAGACATCCTTAGCGCTGCTGAGGAGGCAGGAGAGGCTCACACCACCACTGCTATACTGGCAGCCATCAGCCTGGCTTGTGGCTGAGCAGAGCTCCCCCATGTGGGAGCCCACTGACCACCAAAGGGCAGCTCCTGCATTGAACGTCTGCCCCCTGGTGGTCAGTGTGTGTCATAGTGACCAGTCATTCCCAGGCTTTCTGCTGTTAGGGTCAGTTTGCATATTACCCTTATATTATACAGGATAGAGGCCTGGTGCATGGGTGGGGGCCGGCTGCTTTGCCCTGAAGGGTGTCCCGGATCAGGGTGGGGGTCCCGCTTGGGTACCTGGCCAGCCTGGGTGAGGGGCTGATGGCTGTTTGCAGCTTGTCACACCCCCTTCGGGTTGGGGGTCCCCACTGGGGTGCCTGGCCAGCCTGGATGAGGGGCTGATGGCTGTTTTCAGGCTGACCAGCGACTGAAGCTCCCAGCCTCTCCTTTTTTTCTTTTCTTTTTTTATTCTGGGATTTATTTACCTTCTATAATTGAAACTTTGTTGTTGTAACAGGAGCTGAGAGCCGGCTCCTACTCGCTCCAGCTCTGAGGCCACAGCCTGCTGAAAGCAGTTATCTGGGGTTTGTTTAGCTTCTATAATTGAAACTTTGTTGCTTTTGGAGTGCAGAGCCGGGCCGCGGCAGGCAGGGAACCTTGGCTTCCTCCATCACTGGAGCAAGAAAGCCTGCTCATTTCAGCTGCATGGCTGCCGGCCGCCATCTTGGTTGGGTTAATTTGCATATCTTGCTGATTAGCCAATGGGAGGCATAGCGAAAGTAAGGTTAATTACCATGTTTGTCTATTATTAGATAGGATAGCCAAGATCTGGAAGCAACCTAAGTGTCCATCAATAGAGGCATGGGTAAAGAAGAAGTGGTACATATATACAATGGAATATGACTCAACCCTTAAAAAGAATGAAATCTGGCCATTGGCAGCATGGATAGAGCTAGAGGGTGTTGTACTGAGTGAAATAAGTCAAACAGAGAAAGACAAATGCAATATGATTTCACTTAGTTGTGGAATATAAAAAACAAAATAAATGAACAAGCAGAACTGAGATGGACTCATAGACACAGAAAACATTTTATAGTTGGCAAATGGGAGGGGAGTGGATGGATGGATGAAAAGGTGAAGGAATTAAGAAGTACAAATTGGTAATTATACAATAGTCATGGGATGTAAAGTACAGCATAGGGAACATAGTCAATAATTTTGTAATAACTATGCTGGGTGTATACTAGATTTATTGGGGTGATCACTTCATAAGTTATATAAATAAATGTCTAATCCCTAGGATGTACACATGAAACTAATATAATATTGTATATCAACTGTAATTGAATAAAAATTTTAAAGAAAGAATTTACATATATATATATATATAGATATATAAAGAAAAGCATATATTAATATATATATATATATATATATATATATATATATATATATATATATATATCTTCTCAGACCACATGCAAGATGTGATGTTTCAGGACTTCTCTCCCTAACCAAACTGTGGATTCTCTGGGGGAAAAATTAATATCTTTCAGAGCTCCATGTCCCTACTGGGCTCACCACAGTATTGCCCACAGAAAAGGCTCAGAAAATAGGAAGCAACCACCTGTTCACTTCTCAAACCTTTCTCAGGTTTTGACAAGCCCAAATGTAACCCATGGGCAGAAGTCTGAGGCCAGAACTAGATTGGCAAGGGGGCCTTACCTCTCTCTTCATTCCCCCAAACCTTCCCCTCTCCATCTTACCACACCTCAAGTTCTCAAAACAGCAACTGCCCTCCCAGCCCCAACATTCTGCCACTCTGCTCACTGGTTTGAGGTCCTCCTGAATCACCAGAATGGTTGAATTCAGTACCATGCGCTGCAGCTTCTTGGTCTGAGGCACTAGAGGAAAGACAGACATGCGGAGCGGTCAGTCTCCTTCCTCCCCCTTTGTTGCTTTGGGAGGCATGAGAAGACAGACAGCCAGGAGAAATTTTAGATACAGTCCTGCTCTTCAAGGCCAGATCAAACCCAAGATGCTATCTCCACCACCCCTCTGCTTCAAACCAGACTAAAAAGTGACCTAAGACAGTATTTCATCAAGCTAGCACTTGCCCCTCAGCCCTTACCAGACTCCCACAGCTGACCACACAAGTCTACCTCATTGGCGGAGCTGTTCTGCTCACCCTCTGCCTATCTCAACCTTTAGAACTGCCAGCACTGCTCTTCTGTGTGAATTCCTTTTGCTGACTCAGTCTCCTTTCTACTCTCAGCACAGCTCCTACACAGAGTCTGTCCCATCTCCTGACTGACACCTTCTCCCTTCCTGTTGCCCATTGCCATCACATTTACGTAACTTATCACCTATTATCCTGTATCCTTTTGCTGTGTGAACAGTCTCATCTTCCCTACTTGACTGAGCTCCTCAGAACAAGGACCATGTCTTATTTATGTGTGTATTTTCTGTGCTTCGTACTGTTAATCACACAGCAATGTTTTGATGGACACTTGATTGAAGTTAAAACCTACAATCCAAGATATGTTTTGTCCTTTAATTCTCACTAAAAATGGCTAAAGGTAGGAATTGATGTTACCTACATTTTTAGTTTTTATAATCCTCACCCAAAGGATATGTTGTTTTTATTTTATTGAAAGGGGGGCGGGGAGAGGGAGAGAGAGAGAGAGAGAGAGAGAGAGAGAGATCAATTTGAGAGAGAAACATTGATATGCCCCTGATCTGAAAACACACCAGCGACACAGCAACATAGGTATGTGCCCTGACCGGGAATTGAACCCACAATCTTGTGGTGTATAGAATGACAGTCCACCAAACTGAGCCACCCAGACAAGGCAACTCCATTTTTCAAATGAGGAAATAAAGGTTCAGACTACAAGTAATCTGCCCCAGTTTGCACAGCTATTAAGAGTCAAAATCAGCCGAAACCGGTTTGGCTCAGTGGATAGAGCGTCGGCTTGCGGACTGAAAGGTCCCAGGTTCGATTCCGGTCAAGGGCATGTACCTGGGTTGCGGGCACATCCCCAGTAGGAGATGTGCAGGAGGCAGCTGATCAATGTTTCTCTCTCATCGATGTTTCTAAGTATCTATCTCTCTCCCTTCCTCTCTGTAAAAAATCAATAAAATATATTAAAAAAAAATCAGGATTTGAACCCATTGAGTTTATGTTGAGTTTAAAGCTGTGCTTTTTTATGATGGGAAAAAAGAGGAACCAATGTAATAATCTGAACAATAAAGATTTAATTAAAAAAAATAAATCTGTGCTTTTAACTACTAAATGGGACTGTATGCCAGAGCAAGGAGATTTCCTGAGCAAGAAGATCCCTAGGACCAGGCTTGTTTCCTACTCACATTCCTGGAACACATCAGCGAACACTTGAAAGGCTGATTCCATCTTCTCTGGATCACTGGATTCCACGGCCGTTAGTAATAGGGATACCATCTGATCCTGGTATAACTTGGCTATTAGAGGGCATGAATAAAGGGAGTCAGGGGTATGTTTAAGTGGGAGGTGGTGTGTAGAAGTAAATCATGCTCACAGCAAACCACTGATGCCATGGGCTGGATAAATTAGGGTCTATTAGGTTGGAGAAAGAAGCAGATAGAAAGAGAGCCAGTGTTTGTCCAGCATTTACCATGTGCCACGCTTGGGGGCAGACGCTTTTCCTAACCTAGGCCTGTCCCTCCCCTGCCCCACCATGTGCTCACCAATTAGGTCAGAACCTCTTTCGTGACCATCAGTGCTCTAATCACAGTATCACCTTTCTGAGCTCAGGATCACCAAAGGAGACCGGGAAGCCAATCCCAGGGGAAGGAAGTGGTAGCAAAAGGGATAGGGAAGGGAGAATGTCTATGCCCTTGGAGATTCATTGAATTTCAGGCAAACTTTACATGGATTACTTTGCATCTTGTCTTAAGGAAAGAAGGCGGTCTTGGGAACCTAGCCTCCCATGGAGTACAAAATCCCCGGGCCTATACCTGGGGTTAGGAAAATGTGTGGACTTACCCAGGATGAAGAAAGCCCTCAGGACGAGGCTACGGTTCTCCACAGAGTGAGGGTCTGCTGGGTTCACTCGTTCACAAAGCTGTGGGGAGACCAAGGGCATCAGACCTGGGAGCACTGAAAAATCTGGGGCTCTGGGCATGGATGGAGAAACTGAGGTATGCAGCCAGAAAAAGTGCGGCAATAGGACCCAGGAATACACCTACACAGCCCCAAAGAAAAGAAGACAGTGGCCAGCAAATATATGGACGGTAACACCTTTTAACAAAATGTTCAATTGTCCTCTTCCTCCAATTGTCCTCTTCCTCCTCTAGGCTACAACACAGAGGGCCTGCCATTTCCCACAGGCATCTCTGCCCTTAGCCAGTTTAGAGGGAGCAACAATGGCCTCCACCCCCAGAAACATACAGAAATGTATCCAATTTACTCTGTGACCACAATCCAGGCAGGGAAGCCTGAGGTGTGTGCAGTTACGGTCACCATGAGAAAAGCCCAGGGCCGTGTGGAGGTAGTGACCTGCTCTGGGGTAACCATCACCTTCAAACAAGAGGGGAAGACCAAGCCCAGGATACCTGCAGCCTCCAGCACTCACCTGCTGGAACAGCATGCCAGTAATGTTTTCCAGCTGGGATTCCAAGTTTATACCTCCGCAGCCGCTGAGCGCCAGAGCATCCACGAGTTGGTAGATACACTGTGTGTGTAAGGACAGAGTCAGCCACTCAGCCAGCCCTTGCCACAGCCTCAAAGGAAAGCCTCTGTCCTCAGATCTCCTCTCAGAGGTGGCCCAATATCATAGTTCACACTGCCCTCTTGGACCTTTTCATGAAGGCCCAGGGGCTAGTTTCTCCATAGCCAAATACAGCCATGACCTGTTCTTCCTCCTCACCCAAGAAGCTACACTTACTTTCAGATAACCTTATTATTTCACGGTAACTTTTAGAGCAACTCAACATGGCAGGTGTTGGCTGACTTCAAAGAAATAGGACAAAGAAATCATGGCCAAAGAAAGAACTGGTTCTATTGTTCTGACTTTCAAAATTCAGAAAACCACATTTTAAAGCCTAAATATCTTCCCTTTACCTAGTGAATTGTATTGTTTTATGGGTTATTCTTCTCTATGAGAGGCTACAAATAGCCTTAGTTTTCACATGTGTAAACAGTCCATTTTATTTTTTTTTAAAAAAGGCTTTATTGATGTCTAATCCTATATAATTAAAGGGTTATATGCAAATTGACTGAATGGAAGAACAACCGGTCACTATGATGTGCACTGACCACCAGGGGGCTGCAGCTCAATGCAGGAGCTGCTCCCTGGAAGTCAGTGCGCTTCCACAGGGGAAGTGCTGCTCAGCCAGAGGCATGGCTCATGCAGTTGCAGCTGCATCTGCAGGAGCCTCTCTTGCCTCCATGGCAGGGGACATCCCCCAAGGGCTCCTGGACTGCAACAGGGTGAATGCCAGGCTGAGGGACCACACCTCTCCCCCACCGAGGGCATGAATCTCATGCACTGGGCCTACAGTTGATATATAATACAGTGCACATATTTAAAATATACTATTTAATAAATGTTAGCACCCTTGAAACCATCTCCACAATTAAGATAATAAGCATATTCATCGTCCCCAAAAGTTTCCTCTGGTCACTTTGTAAACACCGTTCTTTTCCCCATACAACCACTGATCTGCTCTCTGTCATTATAAATCTCTCACTTACTTTTTAAAAAACTGCCAAACTGTTTTCCTAAATGGTTGTGCAAATTTACATTCTATCAGATGTATAGTGGCATCTCATTGTAATTTTTAATTTCCTAAATGATGTTTAGCAACTGTTCCTGTGCTAATTTGCTATCCACATATCTATTCAATTTTTGTGCCAATTTTAAAAATATTTTTAACTTTATTTTAGAGAGGATGGTGGGTGGGAGGGGGAAAGGGAGAGAGAAGAGGAGGAAGAGAGAAAGAGAGAGAGAGAGAGAGAGAGAGAGAGAGAGAGAGAGAGAGAGAAACATCAATGTGAGAGAGAAATATCAATCAGTTGCCTTCCACATGTGCTCTGACTGAACCAAACCAAAACCTGGATATGTACCCTGAATGGGAATCAAAGCCACAACCTTTTGGTGTACAGGACAGCGCTCCAACCAACTGAAACTGAGCCACACTGGCCTGGGCAGTTTTTAATTTTTTAAATTGCATTTTGAGAGTTCTTTATATTTTCTGGAGATATATATATATATGTGATTTGCAAATATTTTCTTCCAGTCTGAGACTTGTCTTTTCATTCTCTTAACAACTTTCAAAGAACAGAAATTACTCACTTTCGGAGGGTGGAGAGAGTGAAGGGGGTGGAGGAATTGAGCAAAAAATTTTAAAAAGAGAAAAAAAAACTCATGGTCGGGGACAACAGTGTGGGTATGGGGGACAGAGAAGTTGAGGAGGGTATAGAGATGATAAATGGTGATGGATGGAGACTTGACTTGGGACGGTGAACACACAATACAGTGTACAGGTGATGTGTTGTAGAATTGTGCACCTGAAACCTGTATAATTTTGTTAACCAATGTCATCCCCATACATTCAATAAAAATGGGGAAAAAAAAATTAAAATAAAATTTAAAAATAAAGTATTCACTTTGATGAAGTCCAATTTATTAATCCAGTTTTTTAAAATCATGTTTTATTTTTTGTCCTGGCCAATGTGGCATTGTCCCAGGCACTGAAAGGCTGCAGGTTTGATCCCGGTCAGGCACATACCCAGGTTTCAGTCTTGTTCCCTGATGGGGGGTTGCAGGAGGCAGCAAATCGAAGGATCAATGCTTTGCTCCCATTGATGTTTCTCTTTCTCCCTCTCCCTTCCTATTTATTTTAAAAATAATTATTTTAAATCTTTTAAAAATAAATAAATAAAATCATGTTTTACTTTTCATTTACAGTTCACAACCCAGTGACCAGACATTAACTAACTTACAAAGTGGTCACCTCGATAAATCTGTAGCATCTGACACCCTTCAGAGTTGTCACAGTATTACTGACTATGTTCCCTATACTGTACTTTACATCCCATGTCTATTCTGTAACTGCCAATTTGTGCTTCTTCATCCCTTCATCTTTTTCACCCATCCCTCACCTGCCTCCTATCTAGCAATCATCAAAATGTTCTCTGTATCTATGAGTCTGTTTCAATTCTGGTTGTTTATTTTGTTTCTTAGATTCCACAAATAAGTGAAATCATATGGCATTTGTCTTCCTCTGACTGACTTATTTCACTCAGCAGAACACCCTCTAGGCCAGTGATGGCGAACCTTTTCAGCTTGGCGTATCAGCATTGTGAAAAGCCCTAACTTAACTTTGGTACCGCGTCTCATATAGAAATTTTTTTATTTTTGCAACCATAGTAAAACAAAGATTTATATTATTGATATTTATTTTATATATTTAAATGCCATTTAGCAAAGAAAAATCAACCAAAAAAATGAGTTCGCGTGTCACCTCTGACACGCGTGTCATAGGTTTGCCATCACTGCTCTAGGCCCATCCATGTTGTTGCAGATGTTAAGACTTCATTCTTTTTTATCGTTGACAGTGTTTTTCTACAGGCCGGGCTGGCTTCCCTCTGGCTGCCTATAGGCACCCCAGATGCGAGCTGGCTTCCTTCTGTCCTTGGCTTTGTCCAGAAGGATGTCCAGTCTAATTAGTATATTACCCTTTTATTATAGATCTTCTCAGTTCCATTGTCTCCATTGAGAAATCTATTATTGTTATCATTATTCCTCCATATGAAATATCATTTTGTGTACTTAAGATTTTCTCTTTTTCAAAACCTATCCTTCTCAAA